TTAATGTAAGCTGTACATGTAAACCATTACATATGTAATATTAGTCACTTGGATAGTGTCATGTGTCTTAATGTAGCTGTACATGTAAACCATTACATATGTAATATTAGTCACTTGGATAGTGTATGTATGTCTTAATGTAAGCTGCAGCTGTACATGTAAACCATTACATATATAATATTAGTCACTTGGATAGTGTACATATGTCTTAATGTAAGCTGTAGCTGTACATGTAAACCATTACATATATAATATTAGTCACTTGGATAGTGTACATGTATCTTAATGTAAGCTGTAGCTGTACATGTAAACCATTACATGTATAATATTAGTCACTTGGATAGTGTATGTATTAGAACACCTGTTTATGTAATACTGGTACATGTCAGTGCGTTAGAACACCTGTCTATATAATACTGGTACATGTCAGTGTGTTAAAACACCTGTTTATATAACATTGGTACATGTCAGTGCGTTAGAACACCTGTTTATGTAATACTGGTACATGTCAGTGTGTCAGAACACCTGTTTATGTAATACTGGTACATGTCAGTGTGTTAGAACACCTGTTTATGTAATACTGGTACATGTCAGTGTGTTAAAACACCTGTTTATAAAATACTGGTACATGTCATTGTTTCAAAAGTATTGTCTGTGTAAAACTTGTACACATTAGAATTTGTTATTATTATATCATAGTTAATATAAGACTGATAACCAAATCTTTGTGCACATGTTTGAATATAAGAGATTATATATGTAATGGTTTACATGTACAGCTACAGCTTACATTAAGACACATGTACACTATCCAAGTGACTAATATTATATATGTAATGGTTTACATGAATAGCTTACATTAAGACACAATAATACTGGTACATGTCAGTGTGTCATAGACAGGTGTTCTAACACACTGACATGTACCAGTATTACATAAACAGGTGTTCTAACACACTGACATGTACCAGTGTTATATAAACAGGTGTTTTAACACACTGACATGTACCAATTAATACAGTTAATACCGCTTGGTCAGACAGTTTTTTATGTTAATATGTAGACATAGTATTTATGGAGTTAAAAAGAACTTAAAACCTTTAAACACACACCACCATTATAGGAGACCATACTGTATTTCTTTGGTTTACTGATCCAGGCTGTACTGACGAGATTTGAATAGCCAAAACTGCAGTGTATGGCAGTGGTTTTGACGAATTAAAGCGTGCGTTAGGTCTCTACGTCACAGAATGTATTTTGAATTTTACCTTTGATTAAAACAAAAGAAATTTGAAATGTGAATAAGTGTAGATGTAGAGAAACTGAATTTCAGCCAAAATGCTAAACCTATTTTACAAGATTTTGTCCAAAAAATCCTAAATCCTAACTAATCAACTTTTTATAAAATATATTCACATTTTCCACAGCTTCTTGTAATCAAACACAAAAGAGTGATAATGGTACAGTTAGAAAACTATTACTGCATTATATTCACAGTAGACAACTGCAGCATTTGTAAAAGAAACTGTTTCATGAATATGTAGATGCTATCTTCAGCTGTGTTGTGGGCCAAGAGCCGACCAGAATATTACTCCTTTTCTTTTTTTTAACACAACCGTTGCATTAATTAAGGTTTAAGTAATCTTGATGTTAAATACACGGATTTATCTGTCGTTAGAGATCCTTATTACTGTGTGTCTGCGACATCTATCACTCGGTATAGTATCATTAGTGAATAAACCTGAACCTGTAAGTTATTACGACAACACTGCTATATTAGATACCTGCATTATATCTGAATTTATACAGTGCTGGTTGTTATGTAAGCAAATGAATAGTGTTTAGTTTTCAAGATACAACTTAAATAAACAAAAGTGTAAAGTCATAATAATTATGATTAGTAGATTCATGCACAGACGATTTAATTCAACATAACCTCTGATCTATAATCTGACCCTCTTCTTAATAATGTGTTAACAGGAATCTATTTCTTTTCATATTATCTTCGGTTAGATTCTAGTTAACAAGTTATTAGAACAGGGATTTTAGTTAACAAGACATTATAAACAGGGTTAGATTCTAGTTAAGTGTTCGTAATGTCTTGTTAACTAAAATCCCTTTCCCAATAACTTGTTGACTAGGATCTAACTGTATTAATAATAACTTGTTAACTAGAATCCTTTTACCAATAACTTGTTAACTAGAATCCCTTTCCCAATAACTTGTTGACTAGGGTCTAACTGTATTAATAATAACTTGTTAACTAGAATCCCTTTCCCAATAACTTGTTGACTAGGATCTAACTGTATTAATAATAACTTGTTAACTAGAATCCCTTTCCCAATAACTTGTTGACTAGGATCTAACTGTATTAATAATAACTTGTTAACTAGAATCCTTTTACCAATAACTTGTTAACTAGAATCCCTTTCCCAATAACTTGTTGACTAGGATCTAACTGTATTAATGGCCCGGCATGGCCAGGTGGTTAGGACGCTCGACTCGCAATCTGAGGGTCGCGGGTTTGATTCCCAGTCCCACCAAACATGCTCGCTCTTTCAGCTGTGGGGGCATTATAATGTGACGGTCAATCCCACTATTCGTTGGTAAAAGAGTAGCCCAAGAGTTGGTGGTGGGTGGTGATGACTAGCTGCCTCACCTCTAGTCTTACACTGCTAAATTAGGGACAGCTAGTGCAGATAGCCCTCGTGTAGCTTTGCGCGAAATTCAAAATAAACTAACTGTATTAATAATAACTTGTTAATTAGAATCCCTTTCTCAATAACTTGTTAACTAGGATCTCACCGTATTCATAATAACTTATCCAGAATCCAACCCTGTTCATAAAACTTGTTAACTGGAATCTGAACCTGTTGACAAGAATATTTAGAATAAGTTATTTGACACTTATTGTACCATGCATTCATGTTAGATCTAGGCATAACTTTATTATATGTTAATAACATGTGGCACCACTAATAAACACACTATATGGTACTAACATATATTGTTCACATTTAAAAGTTGAAAAAAAGGATTCCTTGCTGTACTTTATCATTTCCACAGAAAAAAAGATTTACAAACTTTATGATTGAACTCTGCACCTTATCAAGTTTTAACAATATTTTTACAAATCTTTATTATTAAACATTATCAAGTTTTAACAATATTTTTACAAACATTTAGATAAAGTATAATAATTTGTAAAAATATTGTTAAAACTTCCTTTATTATTAAACATTATCAAGTTTTGTCATAACTTCTAATTAGTGTCTCTACTTCAACAGTTCTATAGGGCTGTGGTACATGCTGTTGCTCATAATGCCTATACGTGTGTTGTTCAGTTTGTTGACTACGGCAACTACGAAGAAGTAACATTAAGTGATGTACAACAAGTTAGCCTTTCAGAATGGGTGAGTGATCTCAGTAACATAGATTGTAAACCTGTCGGAATCCTTGCTTTCTGAACCCATGTTTGTGATTCATGGCTAACCAATGCCATTAATGTGATTATAAATATTTCATAGTGGGCATGTAGTAAATGTTTGTAACTGATTTCATGTGATACAGTGTTCGTCAGATATTGAACCTAACTTTCAAAGAATTTAACCACTACATATCTACCAAATTACTTTTAAACTTTGACTTAATTTCTTTTGCTAGTATTGTTTTTTTGCTAATCATCTGTAGTAAGGTTGTTTCTCTTGCAGCTTGTAATATGAACTTAAAACATATTACCCCTTCACACTACTATAGGCAGATTGCACTAATTAGAAAATAAAGTATATATAAACTTAATGTTTTTTATTTATTTGTACATTTAATGAGTTATTGTATCTCACCTCACCTTTGTTAACACACTAGAAAATGTAATAAGGATTTGCTGGATGTTGTAACCGAACTGCCCTGATGACTTTTGTTAATATTAGAAAATGAAATAAGGATTTACTGTATGTTGTAACTGAACTGGCCTGATGACTTTTGTTAACACACTAGAAAATGTAATAAGGATTTACTGTATGTCGTAACCAAACTGGCCTGATGACTTTTGTTAATATTAGAAAATGTAATAAGGATTTACTGTATGTCGTAACCCAACTGGCCTGATGACTTTTGTTAACACACTAGAAAATGTAATAAGGATTTACTGTATGTCGTAACCAAACTGGCCTGATGACTTTTGTTAACACACTAGAAAATGTAATAAGGATTTGTTGGATGTTAGTTCAGTTACAACATACAGTAAATCCTTATTACATTTTCTAATATTAACAAAAGTCATCAGGCCAGTTCAGTTACCAAAAGTCATCAGGCCAGTTCAGTTACAACATACAGCAAATCCTTATTACATTTTCTAAGTATTAACAAAAGTCATCAGGCCAGTTCAGTTACAACATACAGCAAATCCTTATTACATTTTCAAGTGTGTTAAAACAAATGCTTATTACATTTTCTTGTGTGTTAAGAAAGGTCATCAGGCCAGTTTGGTTACGACATACAGGAAATCTTTATTACAATTTCTAGTGTGTTAACAAAAGTATTCAGACCGGATGTTGTAAGTGAACTGGTCTGATAACCTTTGGTGCTGAGGAAGGGGCTTTCTTGCAGTGGAATAAACAAGATATAGTTATTATACAGTCTTGCTACCGGAAACCTGTAGTTAGCCAATAGGGAATGATGTGAACTAAAGTATCGTTAGTCTTATTTTGATGTAACATCTAACATGTATAACAACTAGAAGTATCGTTAGTCTTATTGAGATATAACGTCTAACATGTATAACTACTAGAAGTATCGTTAGTCTTATTGTGATGTAAGGTCTAACATGTATAACTACTAGAAGTATCGTTAGTCTTATTGTGATGTAAGGTCTAACATGTATAACTACTAGAAGTATCGTTAGTCTTATTGTGATGTAACGTCTAACATGTATAACTGCTAGAAGTATCGTGAGTGTTATTGTGATGTAACGTCTAACATGTGTAACTACTAGAAGTATCGTTAGTGTTATTGTGATGTAACGTCCAACATGTGTAACTGCTAGAAGTATCGTTAGTGTTATTGTGATGTAACGTCTAACATGTGTAACTACTAAACATGTTGTCAGTCCTTCCTTTAATATCATGCACATACTACTTTGTTTATTGCTGTACCATATTTCTCTAATTTGTATTAAAAGCATGTTTTTCACACTAAATTTTGTAGCTTATTGATTGATTGACAGACTTAATTGGCTTATCAAGGTGAAAATTTTCAGTGCTTCTCGGTGTGTTGGGGAAGTTTGTTGCTTTCAGGTTGGCATGTAATGACATTCCTCCTTTGCATGTAGTTAAAGCATGACTGCCAAATGGAGTCGTAGAAAAGTTCTTTAGTGGACTGTTTGTATGTTAGTTTGTGTTCTGTAACATTAACAATAGCATCGTGATCTTTAAATTCAGTAATTGAAATGTATTCCTCTCTAGTGGTTGAAGTTTTTATCTATTCCATTTTATTTCAAAGTTATCGACAATGAAAGAGAAGTGTATGTGTGATCACTTTCCTGGAAATATTTCTATGATCATAAAGTTAGAGTGGTGTTTATTTGTTGTTTATTGCAGCATTTTGAAGTGTTTGGATTTTTAGCTGATTTGGAAATGATCTATAAATGTAATTTTTGTACAGAAATAGAGTTACATGTTTTTACATGTTCTACAGTAATTCCTGTATGCTGCATCCGAAAATTATATCCATTTTTCACAAAACGTCATATGTACTTTTACATAAGTGAATCATTTTCATTGAAATCGAGTCACATTTTGTTATGTTTAAAATGATAACAACCACTGACTATAGATTTCTATAGACGAATCACGACATGAGAGTCTTATCGATTGTTTTAGAACCCACGAGAAACACACCGCTAGTATATAAACGGTTAACAGGCTGCATGACGTGTCATTTCAGGATAGTATTTGTTTGTGCATGCACTTTGTCATTATTTTTTCTTTTCAATATTATTTATCTGGCACTATGGCAACAAGGAGGTGTAAATGACCCAAACATATTCTGTTATATTTGTGGTAAATTTGTTGTAAAGAAACAAAGGCAAAACATTACAGAATTCATCAGAAAAGCATATTATGCATATTTTAAAATATAACTTGGGGAACACGACAAATCATGGGCTACATACAAAGTTTGCACCGTTTGTGTCAAGGAGTTGAGATAACGGACTAAAGGTCTTTGTCTTTTGGAATTCCAATGGTCTGCTATGAGCCTAGATACCACAGAGATGACTGCTATTTTTGCTCAAGTAACGTGCAAGGCTACATCACTCGAGATAAAAAGGAAATTTCTTATCTGAACCTTCAGTCTGCTATAAGACCTGTTGCTCGTAAACCTGATGTACCTTTACCTACTACACCAGAGACTCTTGATACAGTTTCATCTGATGTCAGTAGAAATGATGATAGGGATTGTTTTTAACCTGAAATGTCTGGTGAACTACAACTTTTCACACAAGGTGAACTTCATGATTTGGTGAGAGATTTGGGCCTTCCAAAGGATTCTTCAGAGATTTTTGGGTCCAGACATTGAGCTAAGAACTTACTTTCTCTAGAGATGACATTTTACTGGTTCAGAAATTGTGTGAAAAAGTCTATACTATACTTTTCACAGGAAGGTTCACTGGTTTATTACAACAATACTGCTGAATTAATAGCAATGCTAGGAGCTGCAGTCTATGACCCAAGTGAGTGATGATTGTTCATTGATTCCTCCAAAAGAAGTTTAAAGTGTTCTCCTTCATAATGGTAACATATATGCATCTGTTCCTTTTGCTCATTCAGTTCACTTGAAGGAAACGTACAAAAATCTTGAACTTTTTCTTAATAAGGTCAAATACAAGGAACATAGTTTGCTACTTTGTGGAGACTCAAAAATCCTTTGTATGTTGTTGGGTCGACAATCCGGTTATACAAAGTAAATGGTACAGCAGAGCATGAAATCAGCACTGGATAAAGAAGCAGTGACCACGCAGAGTCAGCCTGATACCAGGATCAAAAAACATTGAATGTGAAAGTTTGGTTGACACAAAGAAAGTCCTATTACCTCCACTTCATATAAAACTGGGCTTGATGAAGCAGTTTGTAAAGGCCTTAGACAAAGATGGCGACTGTTTTAATTATCTATGTGGGCAATTCCCAGCTCTTTCAGAAGCGAAACTTAAAGAAGGGATTTTTGTTGGGCCTCAGATTAGCAAAATTGACTTCGAATGAACAGTTCATAAGGACAATGAGGAAAGTTGCAAAAGAAGCTTGGATTCCCTTTAAAGATGTTATTGACAAATTTTTAGGAAACAACAAGGACCCAAATTACGAAAATATTGTCAATAACATGCTCGATAAATTCAAAGAGATTCGTTGTAATATGAGCTTGAAAGTTCATTTCTTACACTCACATATTGACTGTTTCCCTGAAAATCTTGGTGCCGTCAGCGAAGAACAAGGGGAAAGGTTTCATCAAGACATCAGGGAAAAGGAGAGCAGGTATCAGGGAAGGTGGAACATCAGCATGATGGCTGATTACTGCTGGTCATTGAATCGAGAGGCTCCAGATGCAGTACATAAAAGAAAGACCACAACACGTAATTTGAGGCTAAAAGATGTTGATTTCACAAAAACAAATCAGGATGAATGAGGATGCATATTCATTTGACATCAGTGTTCTTCCCTTTTCTTTAGTTTGTTTGTATTTTTGTTAACAAACAAACATAATAAAAAATGTTCATTGTGGTAAACAAAATAATAATTTGATCTAAGGAAGAGTTTTTTTATTCCCAATTTGCAAAAAATCCTAACATGACAGAAAAAATGAATATTATTTTCGAAATCTGTGTAGCTGAATTATGGAAAATCCGTTATTAAAACCAAAACAACTTTTATGGAGTTTAAGTTTGCAGGCCTGTGTTATCATTCCACACTTCAGTCATGTCACCATACCTTGTATACTTATGTTTTTAAGTGTAAGTATATTTATCAGATATATAAATTATATATTATTTAAATATAATAATATTCGTACAACTTTTATGAAGTTTGAGTTTGCAGGCCTGTGTTATCATTCCACACTTCAGGCATGTCACCATACCTTGTATACTTATGTTTTTAAGTGTAAGTATATTTATCAGATTTCACTGTGAAATCAAAAAGTGCACACCTGTATATCAAATATCAAAGTTTAATTAAAAAAAAAAATCGAACTTGATTTCTACAGCTTTTTAGAATTGATATTTTGAAATTTTATAAACAACATACTTAGAGATTTTCTTAGAATTTTTCTGCACATTTCAAATCAAAGGTTTACATTTTAAATAATATTCTATTTTTTTTTAATTGGATTATTTTTCAACTTTTAACCACCCGTGTGGTTATCATCAGTAAACTGTGGTTTGAAAAAATATAAATATAATAATATTTGGACAACAGGCAACAGTTTTCTCCTGAAGAAGAAAGGTCAGAGGTGTTCAGGTTATATGGTTTTTTTATTTTTGTCTTATTTTAAACAAAAATATTATTACCTGGTCTCCATCAATGACATTTTGAAATGTTGGAATGTAGATCATAATAAATCTTTATAAGTTTCTGCACTGGTGTTTTTATGATTTATAGCTGAAAGTGGTCACTAGTCAGCAAAATAAATTTAAAAAAGAAATCTATTAATGAATGTCAGTGAAATTGAAACAGATTGGATACATAAAACGAAACTTTCTAATAGAAAAAAAAATTAAATTTTAAAACAAAAGCAAGTATCTATAATGATTTTTAAAACATTTTCTCCATAAAATTTAAATTATATTGTAAGAAGGAATAAATCAAAGGATATTAGTGATACACAACTAGTATGGAAAGGGGTGATTTAAACATTTAGGTAATTTTATTTAAAACACATCCTCCTAAACCTTGTACTTGTGTATATTAGATTTTCACCCCTTAAATGTGGTCGTTCTAAACCTTGTTATTAGTACTGATAAAGTTTGTTGTTTTATTATTAATTGTTAGATGAACAGATATTTCTAAATCTTGTTATTAGTACTGATAAAGTTTGTTGTTTTATTATTAATTGTTAGATGAACAGATATTTCTAAACGTTGTTATTAGTACTGATAAAGTTTGTTGTTTTATTATTAATTGTTAGATGAACAGATATTTCTAAACGTTGTTATTAGTACTGATAAAGTTTGTTGTTTTATTATTAATTGTTAGATGAACAGATATTTCTAAACTTGTTATTAGTACTGATAAAGTTTGTTGTTTTATTATTAATTGTTAGATGAACAGATATTTCTAAATCTTGTGTTTATTTTGATAAGTTGTAATGTGTTTTCTTTGATTTAACGTGTAATAATGATAGTTATAATGTACGTGTTTAAGAATTCGTATAAATAAGAGACATAGAAGAAGCTAAAACATTAATAAGTTAAAAGAAACATTAAGATTATATCAAAAATAATCGCTAAACAACTTAAAAAGAAGTTTTTTTGAAACCTCAAATTTAGCAAAATTCGAGAACATTTAGTGACTGAAAAGAATGAAAACTCATGAGATCTCTTTAAATTGATAAGCAGTTAGGGTAACAGATATTTGTTAGTGTGTTTCTGCTGTAGAAGTACTAAGTACTTGCTAATGTTTCTACAGAATTACTACCAGCCTAGTGTAGGTCAAACACCCCCTGGTGCTAGTACTGGCTCATACATGTCAAACTGTCCACCTGCCTTCTCTGGTGATGGAATGGTTCAGTTCAACTTTATGGGTACTATTGAGTTTAGAAGAGGTGGGTCCAAACCCGTGGTGAAGCAGACTCCCCATGGAAATGGCAATCATCAAGGCAGGCCCGTTGACAGGAGCAGACAACAGAGTCGCCCAGCTATGCAGCTTTATCAGTCTGCTCAAAGACAAGCTCCAGGGCCTCTCTGAGATTCCCAGTAGGGTCCTGGCCAGTGTTGTTGATTCTTCAGGTTAGAAAAACTGTTCTGAACATCTATTAATGATAAGAAGGAGGTAGGAGAGTGAACTCTGGTGGTGTTTATGATTATATGGACTACAAGGAAACTTTTAATTACATAGATAGATATGTTGTTTGTTACAGGAGGTTCAGTTTATTAAATGTACTGCATCACAGTTAATACTGTGTTAACCAGTTTTGACAGAATTTGCTTTTAAAACATTTGTAGCTTCTTGTAGATAGGTTTAATATTTGATGATGCAGTTTATTACAGTTTGTATTATTCTAATAAGTTGTAACTGATAGATATTAAGTATTAACACTGAATAAAAGAATGATGTAACTAATTACATCTTGCAGGTTTAATGAAATTAATCGTGTTTCAATAACTTATTAGACGTGGTGGAAGATGTCCTGTTCAGGGTGTCTTTTTTTTTTTTGTTAAACCTGTTTAAGTTAATTCTTTTTTTATCTTGTATTAGCGCATTTTGGTTAATTGATAACTTTGCATAAAAAAAAAATGAATATTTCAATTTCCATAGGATTACTGTTGTAAACTTTTTTTTGTTTTTCATCTGTGTAGCTTTTGTTTCCTTAAATTAATAATAATTAATATAATTATATTACACATTGCAAAAAATCATCCAATTAATTGATAAAGTATTTAATATATATTTTAAAAATAAATCTAAAATTATTTGTCTTTCTTATTTCTGACTCGTGCTTCAAAAAATGTTTTACAAAATGTTGATGGACAAGGTAAACCCATGATGTTTGTTTTAGTAAAGTTAAATACAGTTATATCAAAAATACTCAACCACTGTTGCTTAAAAATCCTAAGCTAAGCAAAGGCCTGTATTAAATTAAAACCTAAAAGGAACAAATATCAATAAAAGTATCTTAACATTGTACACCCGCCCCCAGTGGCACAGCGGTATGTCTGCGGACTTACAACGCTAGAAACCGGGTTTCGATACTCGTGGTGGGCAGAGCACAGATAGCCCATTGTGTAGCTTTGTGCATAATTACAAACAAACCAACGATTGTACACCCATAGTCCTGTCATTTGTGTAAAAACAAGAAAAAGCTTCGTATTAATTCATTGAATTTTTATTATAAAAATATTTTGGGTTCCATGATCAAAAACAGTGAAATTTAACTGCCATTTGGCTTTGTGTTGTAAAAATGTAGGGTTAGCTATGATTATATATTGTGTGTAAACAAATAAAACTGCCATTATACATAAACTTGCCTGTTACAATCCCATTCTTTAGATAATAATAATATAGTGTTAAACCGCACAAATGGAAGTTATTCAGTATATATATATATAAAAAGGCCTTTTGACGATAAAAATGATCTACTACGAGAGTTCTAGGTTTATTCTGTTTAGCCATATGTCGTTTGGCAAGAGTTATATTGCACACGCAGTGTCGGTAATTATTTAAGTAGTATTTTAGCCATAATTAATAAGGATCATAAAGTATTAAATAAGGTAAAAGTCACTGATGTTTGTTCACATGTTGTTTGAAGGTTTATTTGGTGCAAATAATTATCTTCACACATTTATCTGGAGAAAACAAGTTATCTTTTAAAACATCAGTAGTGTATTCAAATCTCTCCTTCTCTTTCCTGGGTCAAGACAATGTGACGTTAAACATGAATGGCCAAACATTGTGTTGGAGAAAACAAATAACTGGCTCATATCTGAAGTTATAATACAGCTGTAGCCAGACATTCTAGGGAAAACAGCCACTTATTCAACTTTGAAGAAAAAAATATAACTTTTAAACAGGGATTCTAACACAAACAGAAAAAAAGTTCAAAAAAGTCATTGCTGTCACAGCCCAAACCTGTGCCCCCCCCCTACCCATCAAATTTCACTGTTACTTCCTTTATGAAATAATATTGGACTTTTCAAAAAATAATTCACAAATTGTGAGTAAACAATAAAAAATAATAATAATATCTTAGCCGTTAATTTTGGAAGACTCTTAAAAAAAAATTTCTGTTATATTTTATGTATTTGAATCTTGTAGAAAGTTCGATATTTATTGTAATCTTTTCATTCAACTATTTCACACCATTCCTCATTAGGCCTAACTAACTAAACTGTACTTGATAAAGATGTCAGTACTGAAGTGCAAACTTCCACCAAATAAACTAACAAACAACATGTGGAGAATTCTGGTTCAAGTATTTAATCTCACATTCATTACGAGTTTAAAAGTTAATAAAGTTTATCATATGGACATATGTTTTTAAGAATTATGAACCTGCATTCTGATGAGTAGAAATTTGATAATCTGACAAGATTTAACATTTCCTTTTAAAATTATGTCAGAGAGACAAAAGGCTCTAGATTGTTAACTTTATGCAAGACTTATGATTTGTATGTTTTCTGTGTACTACTCAACAAAAAATTATTTTACTAAATTCTAACAATCGTTAGTAAACTACTTTATTACAATCCACTGTTGTAGTTCAATGAAAATAAGAAGAAGTACTTTACTACACTTACATCTTGGCTCAGGGATCACCTGCTTCATCACACCGACCCATTTGTATGAACTACTTATCACACCGACCCATCTATATGAATTACTTATCACACCGACCCATTAGTATGAATTACTTATCACACCGACCCATTAGTATGAACTACTTATCACACTTACCTATCTATATGAATTACTTATCACACTAACCCATCTTTGTGAACTACTTATCACACTTACCCATCTATATGAATTACTTATCACACCGACCCATTAGTATGAACTACTTATCACACTTACCTATCTATATGAATTACTTATCACACTAACCCATCTGTGTGAACTACTTGTCACACTGACCCATTTGTATGAACTACTTCTCACACTTACCTATCTATATGAATTACTTATCACACTAACCCATTTGTGTGAACTACTTATCACACTGACCCATTTGTATGAACTACTTCTCACACTTACCTATCTATATGAATTACTTATCACACTAAC